CTGTTGCCTTGCTGGACCCGGTTCCTCATCTATGCCTGGGTGCTGTGAGCATGAATGTGTTCTGCTACCACGGCCTCTGCCTGCACACACAGTGTCCGAGCCCTGCACTTGGCTGGGGCATTGAGAAACTTTGTCCAAATCCATATCCCTGCTTGGAGTGCCGTGTGATGTCCCAGTGTGCAGCACAGACTCAAGGGTCGTGGCCAAGCGGAGCTGGAACAGAGCCTCTGCTTCACCTTCATCCCCACTGGGCCTGCGATCCTGGGCCTGCCTGGGGTGGATGCTCCACCTGCCAGTCTGTCCTCATGCCCGTGAGGCTCCAGGACATTCTCAAAGTCCAGGATCTGTAGGCTGAGTCCTGAGTGTTTAATTTAACCATTTTGGGGCTGGGGATTTAGCTCAGCGGCATAAGCGCCTGATTTGCAAGCAGGCAGTCGTGAGTTCGATCCTTGGTACCGATAAAAACAAAAAAGACCTAAAAAATAATAATTTAACCGTTTTGCTGGGCCTGGTGGTACATACCTGTCATCCTAGCACTCTGAGAGGCTGAGGAAGGAGGATCTCAAGTTTAGGCCTAGCCTGGGCAACTTTACAACTTAATAAAACAGTGTCAAAATAAAAAATAAAAGGGACAGGGGTCTGTAGCTCAGTGTGAAAGCCTTGAGGTCAATCCCCAGTAGCACAACACAAAAAAAAAAAAAAGGAAAAAAAAGTATTTTTCCAGAGACAAATCAGAGAAATTAGATCCAGAGAAAAGAAGCACCTTGCTGAGTTTACCCTTGGAGAGGACCAGAGCTGACTCTAAGTATCAGCGCCCTTTTCCCCCCAACCCCAGACTCCTCCTCTTCCTCAAGTCACAGGGACTCAGTTTCCCAGAGTGGAACAGGGGGGACATGGATTCAGGAATAGCAGGGATTGCCAGGGATAGCAGGGGCTTCAGGGGCCACCCAGTCTGAGACTGTCGCCTCCATGATGCCCTAGGCCTGGGCAGGCGGCTTCCCCAGCTCAGTCTAGAGACAAGGCATGTAGTTCAGGCAGGCCCTGAATTAACTGTAGCCCAGTCTGGCCTCGAACTCATGACAATCCTCTGCCTCAGCCTCCTGAGTGCTGAGATGACAGGCATGTACCACCACACTCAGCAAGTCACAGTCCTATCTCTGAGTGCTTGGAGCAGAGGTGTCCTCAGCTGGGCCTGAGGGCCTCTGTCATTCAGGCTGTCTTATGGCATCTGGCTGCAGCTAGGGCCAGGCTCTGGTTGTGCTGTGCTCATTTTTGCATTGTATCCTGGCCACGCTTTCCTGCTGTACAAAGCCTTTCCTCCCACGTGAGAGCTCCTCACTCAGAGCCCCAGCCAAGGCCAGTGAGGTCCACACTGCATGGCTGTGCACCACTGAACCAGAAGCTGAGATCGGCCTGGTCATTGGTGGCTTTGTGTCCAGGGCCGAGGCTGGAGCAGGGTGGCCCAGTACTAGGCCCTTCCGGACATTCAGTAGCTCCTGTCCCAAAGCCTCAGCTGGCCACCAGCTTATTCCTCCAAGACCCAGCGAGAAGCCTGGTCCCTGAGTCTCCACATCATCCTCCGAGACCTGCTGAATACCTCAGCTTTCCTCTTAGAAATCGGGGCCGGTGCAATCATTACTGAAGGCCTCTCTAAGCACGTGTGGTAGCACCACATGTAATCCCAGTGACTTGGGAGGCTGAGGCAAGAGGATCACAGGGTTGAGGCCAGCTTGGGCAACTTAGTGAGACCCTGCCTCAAAAATAAAAAGTGCTGGGATGGAGCTCAGTGGCAGAGCACCCCAGTTTCCATCCTCACTGCCACAAAAAGAAAATGAAACAAAAGATGCCCTCACTGAAGGAGAGGCCGTGAGCTGCAGGGACCCCTCGGGGGCCACCTAGGTCTTGCTGAGGGTGCAGCCTCCCTCAGTGTCACCCCGGAACAGGCACTGCTTCAGTGGCCATGCACCATCCCCGTCTATCACTGACCTAAAGCCCGACGGCCACAGAAGCCAGAGCCGGGCAGAAGTTGGCCCTGCATCGCTGCGTGGCTACCAGCTGTGACTGGGAAGAATGCGACATGGAGTGCATGTGATTCATCACAACTGATGTCCCCAATGAAGGGCAGGAGCCTGAGACCAGGCTGGCATCCCCCAGACCCCAGTAACTGGTCAGACGGAAGGAGAGATGGGTGCGTCACAGGACGATCGCTTCTTAGATTGTGGTGAATGGGCCGAGGTCCGCTTGGGCCATCACCATGGGAAACCCTTGCATGCTCAGGATGGCCATGTCCCTGGCAGTGGCAGCCTGGGGACTTTCTCCTGAGTAAGGGCCTTGCACCCCGAAAGCACCTGACATGACAGATGGAAGCCCCAGTGTGTCCGAGCCTCATCCTACAGGCTTCAGAGTGGGCAGCCATGAGATTTCTCAGTGGTGTGGGGTGATTGGCTTCGGGGCAAATTTCAGGTGAACCATGGCGCCCATAGATGTTACCAGAACGTGAAGAGCCAAAGAGGCGCCTTGTGTGTGTTGAAAGCATCCTCCAAAATCCTGGGCAAGGCTTTGCTTGCTATTCTGTACTAAAGTGGGTTCCCAGGACTGGACAAGGACTCAGTGCTAGGCCTTCCCCTGCCATGCATGGCACCTGGGCTCCATTGCCCACAAATACGGGATTCCTCGGACGTGGGGGTGCAGCATAGGCTACGAGCCACAGTGCTGACCCACAAGAATGTCATGCAAGCCACATGTGTGATTGCCAGTCTTCAGACAGCCACATTTAAAGTCAAAAGGAGCAGTAAACTCTATTGCAATAGTAAAATTCACCCACATACCCACAATATCGTGACTTCAGCCCATGACACATGCTCAACGCATTAATGAGATGCCACACTCCCCTGGAAACCCATCTCCACGGCCTGATGTGTTTTATATTTTCTGTGCCTTGAAATGAACCACCCCATTTCTAATGCCCTGGGCCTGAGGCACCTAATTAGCTACAAGTCTTAGGGCATTGGTTATTTATGGAAGTGTCCTCCATTCGTCTCAATTGGGTCAAATGTTAATCGAAGGTTCCCGAAAGTCACTGTTAAATTACTGGGCTTGGCTGGGTATTGTGAATCAGGCCTGCACAGTGCAGGGAGCTATTTGGGAGGCTGAGGCCGGTGGGTTGGAGCAGCACAGTGAGGCCCAGTCTCAAAATAAAAAATAAGGCCGGGGATGTAGCCCTCAGGGGCAGAGACCTTTGGGCTCAATGCCAGGACTGAAAGCAAACACACTGGGTGATTTGCATGTGGAATTCACAAGTCAGTGGAGCAGCAGGTACTTTAAGTTTTTAATTACGGACATGAAATGAGTGTCTTTGGGGAGTGGGACAGAACCCATGGGCTTTCACAAGCTAGGCAAGCCTGAAATAGTACTGTTTCCAAGTTACCCAAACTGCCTTTCTAGCATTCAAAAGCAGCCCTTGAGGGACCTCCCAGCCACAGTACAGGTAGGACTGGGGTTTCAGGCCTGGAGACCACCGGTAGGAAAGGCTCAGAGGTGGGATCCCACCAGGCCTCCCATCTAGGGCTTCCAGCTTGGCCCTTCTGCCCTTCACCCCCAGGGAGCCAATCTTAGGAAACTGAGGGACAGAGCTGCAGCTCGAATGCCCCAAGCCTCCAGGAGCACCAGCCGCTAACGTAAGGCTCTAGTATCTCAGCCCTACCACCCACGATTTGAACGGGCCACCAGAGCCTGGGACGCAGCCAAGGCCTCCCAAGCAGAGGCGCTGCCTAAGGTCTAGGCTGCCAGCCCTATGAGGGTGTGCAGCGAGGGGCAGGCGTGAGGAGCCACACTCAGCTGGGGAAGGGACATGGGCTGCTCTAGGGCCACTTCCCCTCTGCCTGCAAAACCCTTCCTTCCTTCTCCTTAGTGACCCCCGACCTCTCCCTCGGTGACCCTTGGAGTTTCAAGAGGCAGTCCCTTGGTTCACACAGAGAGGAGTCGCTCCCCACTCCCGCAAGGTCGGGGAGGAAGCCCTGCCCCAGACCTGCTATCTGCTCTACCTCCACGTTTCCCCTGGAGCAGGGCACGGGCCTCCTGGACTTGGGGCCCATGGCCCTGGAGCCTTGCATGCCTTGGGCCCAGATGTTCTTTCCCAGGCTCCCCCCTCTGCCTTTCATCAACAGCCAGTGACAGCTCTGACGGAAAGTTTCCTTCACTAACTGAGCCTATGTTAGGAAACAGTCAGTCAGCTGACACCAACACAGCTTGAAAACCACGCAGGAGCCAGGGAATGGGGATGCGTGGGATGAGACAGACACTGCTGGGGAGATGGGGGGGCCCCATCCCTCACCTGAGCTCAGAGGACCTGAGCTCAGAAAAACTGGAGTCCAGGCCTGGGGACCACGGTGATCCACACAGCCCTGAGCTGGGGTGAGCTCAGTGCCTGGAGCCAACGGATATAGACAGAGGCCACTGGCAGTCCACGCCTGCCTAGCTCTGCACAGGGGACCCCACCAGGCCCAGAGCACTGGTTCATCCCAGCTTCCTACCCAGTGTGAGAGCCTTGGAAAGGCCAGGCCGGGCTTCTCAGGTCGCTCCCCGTGGTCTGTGCCCCAAACTACCCAGCAGTCTGTGCCCAGGACCCTGGCCACAGTGACGGCTGTTGGGAGCCCCTGGGTCCCCTGTGAACCCCTAAGCTCAGCTTTGATCTTGTCATGGTCCTATCTAGAAGGAGGTTCCTTCCTGCCAGGAGTGAGAAATAGGGGATCGGATGCCCATTCACCCGTGAGTGAGGGCTGTGCCTCCAGAGTCCAGCTCCAGGGCCCACTCTGCGACAGAACATGCTGCTCCATCATCCCTGTCACATGAGGCCTCTCTGGGGACAGCCGCGATGCCATCACACCCAAGGCCTCCCAGGCCCCAGCAGTGTCAGGACTGAAAAATCGACAAGAGTGACCACATGGGCCAGAGCCCAGGGCCTGGCCCCCGGCTCAGCGGCAGGCAGGGACAGAGGGTACCTGAGAGTGCTGCCGTCAGCCACCCAGCAAGGCCGAGGAAGAGCCACATGGCGGACGCCATCTCCGACGGCTACGCGTGCTGGGTTGTGGGCAGTGCCATCCAAGGCTGGTGTGGATGTGGCCTGAGTGCTGTGGGCCACCTGCTCCTCTTCGTGTCTGCCGCTGGCTCCCACACACAGGCAACCAAGCCCAGCCCAGCCCACGAGCACCTCACCCTCTACGTGCTGCTTGTGGTTTTGGTCTCCAGGAAGCGGGGTGCTGCTACAGGGATGTGGGGGGAGCCCCAGCGGCTGTGTCACTAGTGTGTCTGCCCCCCAGGCCCGAAGGGGGCCCAGTCTTCTTCCCAGCACAGCACAGCACAGCCCGCGGGGGCCTCTGGGGAGGAGAGGGCAGCAAGGCGCTGCCCCGTGCTGAGGATTCGGGGTGCAGATGCTGTCAGCAGAGGTCAGCGTGAGGAGCAGGGCACTGGGACCGAGAAGTGGGAACCACCACGTGTGATAGAACTGCGGTGCCCTCTGGGAACTAAGACAAGCTGGATTTCTGGGGGGCAGGAGAAGGAGACGCTAAGCGACAGGTGGAAGCGAGTCTAACTGGCCACCGTCCTCCCGTGTGCACACAGCGGGTGCCAAGTAAATAGGGGACGTAGCTAGACTGTCCAAAGAGTACCCTGGAGCCCATACTGGGAGCCCCACCTCGGACCTACCCATGGCTCCCCTGGCCTGTCTCCCTCTCACCTCCACAGCCTTGTTTCTCCTGCCTGACCCAGCTAGGGGACGTGATAAGGGGGGCAGGTTTGGGAGCCCTGGGAACCCCTCACAGCCCTGGTGGGGGTGTGGGGGGGTGTCCAGCGCAGCAGCTAAGGCTGCCTCCTGGTGGAGATTCGTGGCGGCACAGGTGAATGTGTGGGCTCAGCCATGTGACACAGTGTTTCGGGGGGATTGGGGAATATGGGGAAAAAGCAGGAGGAAAAGGAAGCAGCCAACACCGGCCTGCAGCTCTCTCTGTCCCTCTGCTGTGCGGTAAGCACCTTGGTCTGCAGTCCTAGCCAATGCCCTGCTCTGCTGGCCACCTGCCCAGCCGCGGAGCAGCTGGTCCAGACCAGAAGCTCTGAAGCTGGAAGCAAAATCCACCTCTCTCCTCCAGTTCTGGTCCTCTGGTGTTTTGTCCCGTATTTCACACCATTCTTTAAAATGCATGTTGTCAGGTGTGGTGGTGCAGGCCTGTGATCCTAGCACTTGGGACACTGAGGCAGGAGAATTGCTGAGTTCGAGGCCAGCCTGGGCTACCAAGTGAGTTCAAGGCCATGTGCATGAACTGCATAGCGAAACCCTGTCTCAAAGAGACACACACACACACACACACACACACACACAGCATGCTGGAAGTGGCAAGAAAGGAAGCAAAGTTGCCAGAGGTTAGGAAGAGCAGCAGAGGAGTGGAGGTGGCCCAGCCTGAGCCCAGTGGGTGATGAGCTCAGCCCTGGGCACTTGAACTCCAGCCCTGCTGCCTCTGGGCCTCAGCCCGCAGTGCACGAGAGCCCACAAGGGGGCGCACCTCCGGCTCTGAGACAGTAGAGTTGGGGACAGAGAAGCCAGGTTCTCCCAAGCACATGGCAAATGAGAGCGAAGACAGGAGGAGGAGGAGAAGCAGCACAGGCTGACCACAGAACAAACCTGAGTGGGGCAAAGCCCAGGCTCACTGTCTGCAGGCTGTGGGGCCTTCACAGAGTCATGAGCACAGAAAGCGGGCAATGGGAGGGAAACTCACCAACATACAGAGTCAGGACCAAGTATCTGCAGCAGGGGTCCAGGCATGGCAGGAAGAGGGACTCCGCTCAGACCCGAGGGCTGTGGTTGGGTTCCCCTAACAATCGGAAAAAGCCTTTCTGGAGTAACTCGCCTCGAGCTTGGGCCTCTCACTTCCCACAGGAAGCTGCAAGGAACAGGAGCTCACGTGAAAAGAGTAATCACAAGACATAGGACGTGAGCACTGCGCGTAAGGGCATCGTCTGCTGCCAGGTGACCCAGGCCTTACGGGAACCAAGGTACATTCAGCATAAAGTACAGGTGTCTTAGAGGCTGGAAGAAATAGAAGTTGTTATTGAAGGTGCAACTAAGGAACAAGAGACTATTTTTTTTTTTTTTGTCTTTTTCCTTTTTATCGGTACCAGGGATCGAACTCATGACAGCCTTGCTTGCAAGGCAGGTGCTTGTGCCGCTGAGCTAAATCCCCAGCCCCGGAACAAAAGACTATTAAAAATGACCAGCGGGAGTTGGGGAACAAAATCAGGTAGTCATTGTATAAATGAGAAATGTACTCTTTGAAAGTAGAATCTCTTCTACTGAGACTGGGGGCGCTGGAGGAATGACCACAAATTTCAAACCCAGTCCGGGTAATTCGGTGACCCAGTAAGACTTGGTCTCAAAATAAAGCAAAATTTAAAATGACAAGGAATATGGCTCAGTGTAAAGACGCTGGATTCAATTTCCATTGCCAAAAATAAATGACAGAGAGGGTGACAGAGAGAAACAGAGAGCACTGACAGATTAAACATCAGATTAACACAGCTGGAGAGAGAATTAGGAACTGAATGTTTCCTCTGAGGACTTTATCCAGAAGGTAGCGCAGGAGCAAAGACCAGGAGGATGGGACAAGGATTTGCGCATGTTCAGTTGAGGTTCTAGAAGGCAAAGGAAGCTTCTCAGCTCCTGCACAGTGATGACCAAGCCCTGTCCCATGCGATTCTGGCCACGGAGCCTGGATCATGGATGGACTCGAAGCAGCCGGCAGCTGACTTCTCAGTGCTGCCATCTCCAGTGCTGCAGACAGCTGTGCTCTCCTGCTGCCTGGCTGTCACCGTATGACCCCTTCCATCCACCATGCTGTAACCTAGCAAGATTCCAGGCCCTCAGCATTGCGCTTCCTGGACCTCCAGAGCTGAGAGCCAGACAAACACACAGGCAGGCAGGCAGAGAGAGAGAGAGAGAGAGAGAGAGAGAGAGAGAGAGAGAGAGAGCTCCCCCATCCTTCTCTCTGCTTCCTGGCCACGGTGGGCTGAGCACCTTCTCCTTCTCCTCCACCAGCCTCTGGGCCCAGCGCTTCTGGGTGGGGCCAGGGACTGAAAGTGGGTGCTGAGACGAACCCCTCTGCCTTTAAGCTGTGGGTGCCAGTTGCTGAGTGCCAGTAGTGGTTACTGGGTGCCAGCAGTGGGAAAGTCACCAAGACACAGCAATGGATTAAGACAGATACTGTTTCAGAAAAAAATTAAGAGAATTTATAACAAGCAGACCCTCACCTAAGGGAATCCTAGAGAACCACCTTCAAGTACTAGGAAATCATCCTGAAAAGTCTGAGATTCAAGTAGAAAGCAGGGTGAAGAAATAGGTAATCACAAAGGTGGAGTAAATAAGGTCCAACTGCACAAAGGAATTACCCTAAACCCTAACTGACAGGAAAAACAGATAAAGCTGAACAATCAGAAAGCCTCAAAGCACAGAGTTAGAAAGCGGTGTTATTTGATAGGAGGAAAGACGTCACCTTGCTCTTGCTTTGCTAAATTAAATGTGCATGTAAAACCAATAAAGCAAAAAAATGGAACGGGGCAGGGGGGCTGTAAATTCAGAAGGCAGGGAAGGGAAAGACGTGAAAGAGGCACAGGGCGAGCAGAGACGGGCAGGCCTGGGCAGCAGAGGTGGACACCAGGAAGCCAGCACAAGGAGGCAGGAGGGTGCCGGAGCAGGGGTGTGGGAAGCGCACGGGTGGGACGATGGGAGGTGGGAGGCCACAGAGCTGGGGCCGGCAGGCAACCCCTGTTGCCCACATCTCTGGAGCTCGTAAGAGAGAACCGGAAGCCAGATGAGCCTTCTGGGTGCCCAAGCCAGTGAGCTCATGTTTATTTATAACTCCTGGAAGCAGGACCTTTTGATCTCGATTTGCAAAGCCTCCCAGCACCTCTCTATCCCCGGAGGATCCAGGCATGTGGCATATGCCCTGCCTTGTTCCTCTGACCTCGGGTGGCACTGTGGAGAAAGCAGTGCCCTTGGGAAAACTTGGAGTCTTCTTCAGCCAGAAGGAAGAGAAACCCCAGCTGCACAGAGCAGATCAGCCGCTGCTAACTGCTACACCCGGCACAGAATCTCCCCGGCCTCTAGGCAGGCTGTATTCTCAGCACCTGTGCAGTGGGGAACACTGCATGGGGAGGGGGTGGGGCAGGGAGAGAGTGAGAGCAAGCCCACTGGACACGGAACTCGGTCAGGGTGACCCACACTCCGAACTCTTACCTGAGGGCACTCAGCACTAGTGGAGGAGGGCGCACAGTCCTGGCTTGAAGGCACTGGCTGGACACAGGGCTGCTCAGTGCCATGCCGCTGCACCCCTCTCCGCTGCACCCCATTCCATCCCACCCTATCCTATTCCACTCCCCCCACTCCATTCCATTCCATTCCTCTCCTGTGCACCGCACTCAGTTCCACCCATTCTGTACTTAGAATGTCACCTCCAGCCCCGTCCAGTCAGCCCTGGGAGGGCAAAGATTGTATTGACTTTGTTCACTATTCCAATCCCAACACCTTGAACAGTGCCCAGCACATGGTTGGTGGCTGGCTCCCTTCCTTCCTTGTTTGGTGGACTTTCTGTGGTGCTGAAGATTGAACTCAGAGTCCTCACACTGAACTTCTTTTAAAGACAGAATCTTGCTGAGTTGCTAAATTGCCCAGGCTTGACGTGAATATGTGATAGCTGAGTTGCTCGGGCTGGACTTGAATTGTGACTCCTCACCCATGTCTCCCATAGTGCTGAGGTTACGGGTATGTGTCACCACGCTCGGCAAAGGACAGACACTCCCTGAGCCTGTATTATAGGACTATCACTCTATGGGCTATTTCTTGCTGATGCTCACCATTAAACCTCCAACATGAATATTGGGGTTATCCTCCACTTATCAGAAATGGAAGAAGTTAAGTAAGCTCTTCAGAAGTCAAGACAGGGCTCTCAAGGTAGTCAAGCCCGTAGTCCCTTCCATGGATGAGGATGCAGCCACCACCTCCTAGGCACGGCACCAGGCACTGAAGTACAGTAAATAAAATATAACTCATGTTCTCAAAGTCTCGTACCCCAGGAGAAACTGGCAAGAAGACGTGACACGTGTCACCACAAGAGGCAACAAGAGGCAGCACAACAGAGAGAGATGGGAGACTTCTCAGAAAAGATGACACCTGGGTCACAATTTGAAGGACCAATACGGTGAGTCCTGGAATGTTCTGGACTGGAGGAGCAGCATGTGCTAAATCACAGGTGAGGAGAGATGGGAGCTGAGGATCCAGGGCGGAGTCAGCAGGTGCAGAGAGACTCTCTGGAAGGCATGAGGCTTAGGGGTGGCCCAGGAGCAGTCAATGCCAGCAGGCCCTCAGTAGGAAACCAAGATGTGGGGACTTGACCCCGAGCCAGGAGGGACCTTTTGGGGTCTGAGGACATTGGCCTCAGTGTAGAGCCGAACAGAAAGCTGGCAGTCCCAGCACTGAATGCTGGAAGATGGGACAGAACGGGCCCAAGGAAGATAGGGGCCAAGCAATGTCACGGATGTGGGAACGGGTCCTTGGGGAAGGCATCAGAAACAGGGTAGGCGGGATAGCCAAGTCTTTTTCTGCAAGACAGTGACAATGGACACTAAATAAAACAACTACACCTGGTGCCACTCCTATATGGAGGGCTTGGTCCCAGCCTGTAGTGTCACTGGGAGGTGGTATGACCTTCAAGAGGAAGGGACTACAGAAGTGAGGCTACTGGAGGTGTGGACTGAAGGGGCTGCTAATACTCCATCCCCTCCTGTTTCTGTGCTTCCAGGTTTCCATGAGGGGAGCATCTTTCCCGCCATGTGTACTGCATCCCTCCAGGCCCAAGGCAATGGAGCCTAGTTACCACGGACTGAACCCTCTGAAACCATGAACCAAAATAAACCTCTCCTGATTTTTTTTTTCAAACCTCTCCTTCTTAAAAGTCAATTTATCTCAGGTGTCCTGTCACAGTGACAGCTAACACGCTGCTCCACGGGTGGCAAAGGAACAGGGGAAGACATGAGGGAGCAGGCTCTCTGCCATGTTCCATGGGCAGGGCTGAATCTATGTCCTCCTCAGACATGCCTTGGGAATGTGCTGCTCATTCATCTGGCACCATGGGCTCAGAAAGGCAACAATTCTGGTCCTCTCCAAACAGACCCCAGCTGTCCTGGTGGCTGCAGGAATGGACTAAAACGGCATCTTCCCACCCTGTCCTCCCATAACACACGTCATTAAGGACATTGCATCCCAGCCATGTGACCACTGGGAACTGCGGTCTATGCAGATGACATGGAACAGACAGGGCAGAGGCTGTGCCGTCTTGGCGCACCTGCTACCCCACAGAGCAGGTCAGGAGGAGCCAAGATGAAACACTCTCGGTGTGAGACACAGCAGCCCAGCAAGCCCGGTGTTCTCCATCTGCCTTCCTCTGCTCTGTCTGCTCAGCTCCATGGCGGGGTGCTTTTGTCCACATGGCTTGTTTTTGGCTCCCACAGTCCTCCAGCCCAGGGCTTCTGCAGAGAGGGCAGCAGGCAGGTTGGGTCTAAGAGGAAGCCCAGGTGCCCCACACGTGTGCAGCCAGCTTGGCCACTTAGGAGAAGTCCTGTCTATCATGGCACCCACAGCCTGTCATCATCCCCGAGGCACTACACAGCCATTCAGGGAATCTGCTGCCCATCTGAGCCCCAGTGTGGCTCATGGCGTGGCGGTGGCCCTAGACCATCCCACTGGGATGCAGAGTTGATCTAGGCTTCCAAGCCTCATATTCCAAGCTCATGAAGCAGTTGTGCTGGGTCCTGGCTGGGGACTCAAGAGCTCCTGCAAGGCACACTTCTGAACTTGCCAAACCCTGACAGCTGTCACCTGCAAGGTAGGGTGGTACCAGGGGAGACAGGGAGACTCCAGAAGCCACCTCCACCTGCAGCCCCGGGGACACCCCACAGGCATGCCCTCTGTGTCTGTCATGCTCAGCGGCAGCTGCAGGCAGATGTGCAGGTGAAAAGGCACCTCCCCACCAACCCCCAGCCAGAGCCACCGCAGATCATGTCACTGTGTCACATTGCTCTGTGGGCCGTGGCTGTGCAGCTCCAGAGGAGCAGTCCTGGCATGGCCAGACCCTGTGCAACTTCTAGCAGCCAAAGCCTGGATTTTCACATAAAGAATTTGAAGGAGAGAAGTCACTTTTTAATTTCCAATGTTAAAAAAATAACAAAAGCAAAAATTACAAGAAGGATACCACACTGCTTATCACTACCTGGCCCAAACCACGTGGGTGCAGTCACAGCCTCTGGGGCACCTCAGTAACAATGTCCTGCTCTGTAGCTCCCTGACTCCCCCAACACACACCACTCATGCTGTCACTGTGCCCTGGGCAACAGTCACTTCTCCTATCTGCAGGTGCAAATCAACACACCGCCCTCTCCTGCAGCAGGTGCTAATTTTGGTCCCAGAGAGCCACCCTGCAGGAAACAGAGGCTGCTTGACGAGGCTTCTCTGTCCGATGCTGTTCTCCTGGCTTGTCCCTCTAGGCCATGATGCTTCCGGAAGCCCTTCCCTTCCTCTGGCACCCGAGGAGATCGTGACAGCTGGTCAAGCACCTTCCTTCATCCGGCAGGCTCCCTGGGGTGGCCTGTGTCACCTCTGCCAGCCTCATGACCTTGCCAAGAGAGAAAGGTGTTGGCTCTCATGTGACCCACCCTGCCACCACAACCTCATGGCAGCGACTCGGAAGCAGCTCACTTGAAGATACCTGATCTCTGCCTGCCTCATCTGAAGCACCTCCCCCTGGGTGTGGTGACACACAGAACCTGGGCAAGGTTCCACTCTCCAGAGGTCACTCCAGCCATGCATGCCCACGGCCTGTCCCCGACACACAGCTTGGCCTCTGGCCAGACATCAGAGGCTAAAAGGCTGCTTCTGGGCCCGTAGCTTTTGTGAAGTCATCCCGAAGGACCGGTTTACTGTGGGGACAAGGCCCAGTGAGCGCACTGCACATCGAGGGCTGTACGGGCTGCACCCGGAGGGCTGCAATGGCTCCATCCCAGCTCTGTCACACTCCCTCCCCACCCCACCCCGGGCCTCAGTCACGCATCTTCGAAGAAGACCAGGACACCCCAGCGTGCCCTCTAGTCTGTAGGCCTGGGCTCGGTTCCGGCTGGAGGAGGGCAGGACAGGATGTATCATTGGCTGCGGCAGCTGTAGCCAGGGATCCCAGAGGGAAATGAAAGCGAAAGATGGAGAAGTCCTCGGCTCTGGGGGCCGCAGGAGGGCTGGGAGGAGACTGAACAAGGGAGGATTTTAGCAACCACGGCAGCAGCCAGCCGTGGTACAGGGCCTAAGACCCAAGACCCCACTTTCATTTCTCCTAAACGCCATGTGACCCAGCAGCCGGTGAAAGGGGAAGCCCAGGGTTTCTCAAGAAGCAGCAAGAAGCACAAAAACTAAACGGGAGGGACCCAGAGAGAACCCAGGGACAGGGCCACAGTGCCGGGGTCAGTGTGCAGACCAAGTGTCCTGCAGAGAGGGGACAGCAGGTAAGCCCAGCAGGAGGGAGCTGGCAAGAAGTGGAGGAGGAAGGGTCCTAGGGTGACAGAAAAGGAGGTGAAGGCAGAGAGAGGTCAGGGCCAGAGCCAGGCAGAAGGCCGAGAGGCAGGGTAGGTGGGAGGGGCCGGAGGGGCAGAGTGAGAGGGGACAGAGGACAGAGGACAGAGGGACAGGGAGGGCCTTGTCAGACCTCAAGGACAGGGGTGGGGGCAGGGGAGGCCAGGAGAAAACAGAGTAGGGCCAGGGAGATCAGGAGAGGCCAGAGCAGGGCTGGGGAGGCCAGGGGAAGACAGAGCAGGGCCCAGGAAGGTGGGAGGTCAGGGGAGGTCCAAGCAGGTCCAGAGAGGCCAGGAGAGGACACAGGAGTGCCAGAGAAGTCCTAGAGACACCCAGGAAGACGGGGGAGGACAGGGGAAGACAGAGGAGGGCTGGGAAGGTGAAGGGAGGCCCAGGAGGACTGGCACCCCGGGGTGCCCAGAAAAGGCCGGGAGAGCTTAGGAGGCTGCTGGGCCGCAATGCCACAGCCAGAGGAGCGACGGCCGCTAGTGGCCCACGCATGCACATGGCAGCGGCGCGCAGCGTGCACAGCAGTGCTGGCGGTGCAGGGCCTGGAGCGCGCTGCCTTCCTCGGTGTGGCGGCCACGCTGGTGCTGCGCCTGGGCGGCCTGGGCTGGGCGGACGCGCAGGCCTCGCTGGCCGCGCTGCTGTTCCTCGGTGCCTCCTTCATGCTGGCGCCGCTGGGCTGCTGGGCGGCCGACGCCTACCTGGGCCGGCGCCGCGCGCTGGTGCTTAGTCTTGGCCTCTACCTGCCGGGCCTGGGGCTGCTGCTGGCCTCGGCCAGCGAGGATGCCCGCGTGGTGCTGTGCGGGGACCTGCGTGCTGCCCCGCTGAGCCCCGCACCCGCCCACACACCTCCACCCGGCCCCTACTGCGCGGCCCCACTGTACGGCGCGCTCCTGCTACTCGCACTCGCTGCCAGCTCTGCGCGCGGAAACCTCGCAGCCTTCGGGGCGGACCAGGTAAGTGAGGGGTAGGCGTGCACACTGACCATTGACCACCACAGGGCCATGGCCAGACAGACAGGCTATTCTAGGATTCGCGGTGTGTGGCATCCATGACGGTGCTGTGCCCATTTTACAGATAAGGAGCTCAAGGTCTCCCAGGTGAATCAGCTTATCCCGGTGACCTAGAGGGCAAGTCAAAGGGCCTCACCTAGACATGTCACCGAGGCTGGGGCTGGGCCAGCCACCCTCTCCTTCCTTCAATGCCCAAACGGTGGAGCAGACCTGTCCAGATCCCAGCTCTGCCCTTGCCAGCCAGTGAGAACAGGGAGTCCAGGTTGCCTCTGATCTGCTTTCACCTTGTCCCCCTATTGGACAGAGTGGGGCATGTGCAGATAATCGTTCAGGTTTTGCTAACTGCAGGACTCACCCCTAAGAACTCGGCCTTCCTTGGGCAGAGGCTTGCAGTGGGGTCACAGATGTGCAATCAGACTCATGCAGCTGCAGGCTGTGGGGTGCAGGATGTTGAGGGGCACAGCAGCTGTGCTCCGGACGAGGAGACCAGGCAGCCACAGAAATCAGACTGTGACATTGATGCAGTTAGCACTGAACAAACTGTTCTTTTCTGTCCTTCAAACGTGTTTTATTTGCACTCACAGAAGGACGGGAGGTTTCTCAGTGAGTCCTCACACTCGTGACCCAGTGCCAGCTCAGTGCCCAGCATCCTTGCCCAGGGGTCATTGATCCTGCCTGTTTCTTCCTGGAAGGGGACTCAGGGCCCCAGACAGCCCCCTCCCTGCATCTCAGTGTTTACCAAACAGAATCTCCAGCTTCCCTTAATCATCCCTGGCCCACCCCAGCTGCCCTGATCTGTACCCCAGCTCCCTGGCCTCCAGGCCTAGCCGTCAGTCCTCGTACCTCTCAGTCTTCCTGGTGGCAGAACTGGTCTCCCAGGGCATCCACAGGGACAGCCATGCCTGTCCATTTCCCATTCACTAAACATGGGCTTTGGATAAAGGTTGGTGGTGCACACTTGTCTTCTTAGCCTCTGAGAGGCTGAGGCAGGAGGCTGCTGCAGACCTGGGGTGATGTGAGTTGGGGGCTAGGGTGGGATGGGCCGGCTCAGCCTGGCAAAGACTCAGCCTAGCAGCTGTGAGTTTCTCAAAGCTGCTAGTTTCAGAGAGGGCACCATCACCCATCCAGCATGTCTGCTCCTGTGGGACTCATTTATATCCTACACCCGCCATCCTGGTAGCTCTGAGCCACAGCTGTCCTTGTCATTCGAGTCCAATTGATAAATGGACTTGGGAGGACTTCCTTGTTTTTTGATCTTCTGCCAAAGCCACGTAGCCCTCCCTCCTCATCCCCCAGAGGGCCCTCCGGGTCTCTCATACAAGGCAGTCAAGTGTGTCACGTGTGTTATCACTTTACACTTGGACAGGGAGACACATATGTGTCTTTTTCCCAATGCAACTGCAGAGAAATAAAACTGGGGTGGCCAAGAAGAAGGCCCTCCCACCTCTATAGATGGCAGTGATGGGTAGAAGGGCAGGGAGGCTCTGAGGTTTGGGGGAACCGAAAAGTGGCTGCTTTAGCTGTGTAGACTCCGTCTTGACAGGTGACCCCTGGTGCTTCTTAGAAATGCAGCTGCCCAGGCTGTGCCCAGACCTGCTGAGCCAGAATCTGCAACTCAGTCTGGGGTGTGGGGAAGGGGATCCTGGAGCAGCTGACCAGGGCCAGCAGAGCTGAGAGGCACAAATCCCAGGATCCTTCTGCCCTTGCTGGGGGGTCTGAGAAGTCAGAGCCCTCTCCAGGTGGTGTTCAGGACCACCTCCACAGCCCTGGTTCTGCTGACCTCACCTGGCCAGGCTGTAACTGAGGGCAGGCACTGAGTGGCCCCGAAGTTCTGGGTGTGTGGAGGAAATCCCCCCCCCCAGTCTCACTGCTCCTTATGCACTGTGCGTACACCATGGTTAATTGTGTGGAACACGCTCGCCATCTGCATCACCCTCTCTCCTGACTGTAAAAGTAATTTATAGCGCAGGTTGCTCAATGACAGGCAGACAGATGAATCAGCCAGAAGTGAAAGAAGTGACTTCAGGGACATGTGTCATGTGCACCCCTTGGTAACAATAAAGCAGTGAGATAGTGGCACCTAAATACTCTTCTTTTCCACAAGTGATGCTCAAAGGCAGGGCTCTTCCTCCACCCAGTCCCTGGCCCAGTATGTTCTGAGTATGGGCTTTGTGCTGAGGGCTAGGCAAGTGCCCGGCTGGGCGCAAGGAAATGTTGGCAGGGGGTGGAGGGGGACGATGCAGTGTCCCTGGAACTCCTTGTGGCTCCCTCTGGCAGGTGATGGACCTGGGCCGCGACGCCACCCGTCGCTTCTTCAACTGGTTCTACTGGAGCCTCAATGTGGGAGCTGTGTTCGCACTGCTGGTCGTGGCCTTTGTGCAGCAGAATATCGACTTCCTGCTGGGCTACAGCCTCCCACTGGGCTGCGCATTCCTGGCCTTCTTTGTCTTCCTCTTCACCACCCCAGCCTTCATCTCCAAACCCGCCCTGGGCAGCCAGGTGTCCGCCATGCTCAAGCTTGCACTCCGAGGCTGCTGCCCCTGCTGGCGACAGCACACTGCCAGGTGAGGAGACCCTGCTATCTGGCTCCACTCAGCACCATGTGCACTATCACATGACCTGCCGTCCAGGGCCAGGGCAGGGGGCTCGGGTGACAGAGGCCTCAACAGTGACAGTGGAGCTATGGTGGGAGCCTTGGTGCCCACACTCACCTTGAAGAGGAACACCGGTAACAGCAGCGGCTATGGCTGCAGAGGTGGTGACGGCAGACTTGATGATCCCAGGACAGGTCACAGGGACACATTGAGGATGATTCTGCACCATCCTGATGTTACTGAACGCAGAACTCGGCGCCCCTCCCGGCCCCCACATCCGAGGAGAGAATGTCCCAGCACTGTGCATCCACTCTGTGTAGCTGTCACCCGGCCAGCCAGGCCAGGCAGTCGCAGCTGCTGTCAGCAGCCTCTGGGTGGAGCATGTGAAGAAGTGCTTATCCCCCCAGCCCTGCATCTGCAACTGTGCTTTGCCTGTGCCACTGCCTATTGAAGCAGGCCACAGCCTGCCACTCCGAGGCTACCTTTCCTATGACCTTGAGACTCGAGCCCTCAGAGCTTGAAGTCCAGATTTTGAGAGGAGAGTACACTCTAAGAATGAATGTTCCCAAGGACAGGAAATGAAAGCTGCCATCTTTTGTATCCCTGAGAGGCCAGGAAGTCCTGACACATCACTTCCGCCACCTCTAGGGCTACTGAGTCACGGGTTGGTCTGGTACCTGTGGGTGCTGGAGGGGTGCCCCGCACGCTGGCATGGTGGCTGTCTTGTCTCAGAGAACTTTTGCGCAAGGCTCCTGGACAAGAAGGGACCAGAAACTCTTGGTACCAGGGGCAAAGAGTCCAGGCTACAGCAGTGGCCTGTGTTTCCAGACTCCTGATGACGTTCCTCTTTCCCCCGCCTCTGCCCAACCCACCTCCCTGAACAGAGGGAGAGGCTTCCTAAGTCTGTCCAGGATGGAGACCATGGTGTATGGAGTCTGCTATGGCCTCCCTGTTCCATGGCAAAGTGACGCCACCATCCCCCAAATTCACAGGGACTGTGTGCCTTGGTCTCTGGTCTTATTTCCTGAGGACCCAAAGGGACCATGCCTGTCTGACTTCCCTTCTCGCTAGGACACAGTAACCAACACCTGCAGGTTAAAGGAGGAGGGGTTCATTTTGGCTTATGGTTTATAGAGTTTCAGTCCAGGGTCAGTGGGCTCCACAGTGGGGCAGCACGGCACAAGGGCCTGGCTGAGGGCTCAGAGCTCACAGCCTGGCAACAAGAAGCACAGAGGAAGTGGGGAGCCAGAGGGAGATGAACCCCTCCAGTCACCCCGGGGACTGCATCTTCCCGCCAGGCCTTGCCTCCTGACAGCGAAGCCACAACGGCCACGGCAGGTGGTGCTCTGGGGAGGACTAAGTCAGGGACAATAGTGGTTGTGAAGTGGTGACCCTGAGTTGGGAGAGTGACATCTGCCATCCTGTGGTCTTGCAGAGATCCCCAACGTGCCCACCTGCTGCCTGATCAAAGGGTCCTCCAGCCTGGTCCCTCCCCACAGGAGGATGTCGCCAACTTCCAGGTTCTGGTGAAGATCCTGCCCGTCATGGTGACCCTGGTGCCCTACTGGATGGTGTACTTCCAGGTACACGCTGGGCAGGGGCAGAGGAAGCAGTGGCTTGGGCCCAGATGGCAGGGGGAGCTGTGGAGAGGACCTGGCCCAGCTCCTTCCCAGAGACTGCACTCTCTGGGCCTCAGTTTTCCTGTGTGGACATCAGGTGGCCCAGATTCCCAGTGCTCTGTTCCCAGGAGCTCCAGGCAGGGCACACAGACCCCGCTGCTGCCTGGGGCAGAGGTGAAATGTGTCCAGATAGCATGGAGACACAAATAGATGCTGACCCTCCCTCACCTGCTTGGGGAGACGGTGGCTTCCTGAGCAATGCCCCTGCCTGGCCCATCCTGGGCTCTCTAGACCCCTCCCCTGTCGGTGACCAGCTGTGCTCTGCAGGATACAGCTTGGTTCCATGTCAGGAGAGAACTCTCCATGGGGACAGCTGTGTCACTCACTGTCTTCCCTGCTTTGGGAAACACACTGTGCAGCACAATTCTGGGATGTCACGGCCCTCAACCCTGAGGGGTTGGGGCAGGAGCAGCCTTTCCCTGAGGCCTGGGAGGGGACAGCCCACCTGGTTCCTGCTGCCGCTGGAGCGTCGCCTCCTCCAGCCCCACTCCATCTTGTCTCTTCTCCTGACAGATGCAGTCCACCTACGTCCTGCAGGGCCTGCACCTGCACATCCCCAGGATCTTCCCCAACAGCCCCACCAACATGTCTGCGGCCCTGAGCACCACGGCCTTGAGCGATTACACAGTGAGAAAGCTCTCCTCTCCCCAGCTGCTGGACTATGGGACTTGGGAACCACTTCTGCAGGGAGGGTGGGCAAGTGGTGCCAGCCCAGGCATCCTGCGAAGGTACTCAACCGCCCAAGGCCAACTGGGCAGTGCCACATGGCTCTAGGCGGCCTTGTGTCCATCTGTCCCCTCACACAGAGCCCATGCAGGGTCCTGGTCAGTCCTGGGGCCCTGGTTGCCCAGATCTCTGCCTTCTGCTGGAACTTCCTAAACCAGCTCCTGCAGCTCACTGCAGTCTCTTGAAACTAGACCTTCAGCGCTGGCAGGAAGATGACATATGTGCCATTATGTTCATTTCTGTGCTTGTGGCAGACATCATTACTCGCTAATAATGCATTTATGCAAGCCCCTATGAATGGAGAGAAGGCAGGAGGCACCAATTGCCACCCCAACTGGACCCATGTCCTGGTTGCACCGCTGGGGAGTGTGGGTTCTGGAGTAGGGAGGGGCTGATCCCAGGACCCCAACCCCAACTCTTGGCTCCTCACATGCAGATTCCGGAAGCCTGGCTCCTGCTGGCCAATGTGGTGACCGTGCTCCTCCTGGTCCCCCTGAAGGACCACCTCCTGGACCCCCTGCTGCTGCGCTGCCGGCTGCTCCCCTCAGCACTGCAGAAGATGGCTTTGGGCATGTTCTTTGGCTTTGCCTCTGTCATCATCGCAGGTATGTGGCCGGGCCGAGACCTGGTCTTGCGGTGGGGGCCCTGCCACGGGCTGATAGTGGCCACCTATGGATGGCAACCTTGGCCTGGCAGTGGCACAAGCTAAAGGGGATCCTCCCTTGGGCCTCTGGCTCCTTGTGGGATGGGGGAGCCCCAAGAGAGGAAGAGGAGAGGGAGAAAGAGGCTTCCCTCTGGATCAGAGCTTCTTAGAGACAGGTGTGAGTATCTCCCATGGCTCCCGTACATGCCAGAAGGAGCTTCCCGAAGGTGCAGGGCTCTTTGAGACAATGGGAACTGAAAATCTTCCCTCCTGCTTCCCTTTCCAAAGGATTTGCAGCTGTTTCTGTAGAGCAGGGGTTCTGGTTTGAGGGTGTAGCCCAGCAACAGGGCAGCCACCAGGATGCAAGGCCCAAGGCTCTATCCCCAGCGACACAAAAACAAATGAATAAATGCGTAATGGAAGCCCCAGCTAGCAAAGCTTCTGAGGTCCTGTGCTGGCCTGGGGCCTCCTTTCTGAGTGGATTTCTGATCCCGAGGTTAACTTCAGGTTTTTACATCCAATTTTCTAGCAGGGGCAACAAGGCACTAGACCCCAAAGGGCCAGGCCCTGGTCTCAGACATAGAGTAAAGGCAAAAGCCATAAGGACAGGGATGGGCCTGGGTCCCGGGAAGGGGACCACAGCTCGAGGAACGGGGCTGTGCCGGGTCTTCCCTCCACTCACACGCTTCTGTGCTTTGTCCCACTGGATCATGGCACCTAGGACACTCACTCGCTGCCCAGTGCTCAGTGCACTAGAGCAGTCTCCAAGCAGTGAGGGGAAGGATCTGCAGTAACTAAACCTAAGGCCAGGCTCAGAGCACTGCTGCACCCTGGCCCTGCAGTAGAGGCCCACGTGGCATGGAAAGCAGCCAGCCTGGAGCAGCGTCCTGGGGCTCAGACCCTGTCCTGACCACGTACTGACCAGAAGTGTGATTCTGGGCTGATCGTCCCACTGAACTTCATCCATTTACACGAACTTCATCAACGGGCCTCGAGATTTAGCTCAGTGGCATAAGCACCTGCCTTGCAAGCAGGCGGTCGTGAGTTCAGTCCCCGGTACCGATAAAAAAAAAAAAACACCATCAAGGACTCCCACTAGAGATAGTGGCCACCAAGCTCTGGGCTTCATGGTAGCCAGGGCAAAGAGGGAGGCGCTGGAGCCCAGCTCTCGACCGTGTCCTCCTGGCCTGCATTCCTTTCTGTGCCTGCCACCTGACCAGTCACTAGTTACTCAGCAGCACCCACTGCATGCTTAGCCCCACTATGGGCCAAGTTGCCTCAGGTACTCGCCCTCGCTCTCCCATCAGGGGTCCTGGAGATGGAACGCTTGCGATATGTCCACCGCAATGAGACTGTGCCCCAGGTGATCGGAAACAGCATCTACTGGGCCGCACCGCTGTCCATCTGGTGGCAGATCCCCCAATACCTGCTCATTGGCGTCAGCGAGATTCTCGCCAGCATCCCAGGTACCTGGTTCCCTTGGCAGCTCCTGCACCAGTGCATGGGGGAGGCAGTCACCCAGGGGACTAGCGAGCACTGGGCTTCACAGCCACTGTGGCAGGCACGTGAGGCACCACACCCACCTTCCCCACATTCTAGACCATGACCCCTTCCCACATCTTTGCGATTGCTGCTCCCTCTTCCTGAGGCCAAGGTCGCCTCCCTGTTCCCCATCAGCACTGAGCTCCAGGTCAAGGCCCTGGGCCCCGGCACCCCTCATGCACAGCACAATGTGCTGTAGACAGAGTGCCCCTCTGCTCCACAGCAGGGAGCTAGAGTTGTGCTCTAGCACTATGGCCACGTATGGCCCTTGGGTGGGAAGGAGCTGGGTGGGGTGCAGGATGAATCTAGCAGGCGGGAGGTGGGAACTAGGGGAGGCACAAGAAAAGCCCAGGGCTGTGTAGAGCCAGGGGACAATGGAGGGCAAGAAAAGGTCCCTCGGGCCTCGCCTGGATCACAGCTTTTCGAGGAAGACAGTGCCTCCCTCCAGCTCCAGGGTATCTGGCTAGAAGACAGCCCCCCAATGACAGACAGCCTGGTTCACCGTGGCTGGGGGTAACAGGGCAGGGGTTGGGCTGGGCAAGAAGTGACTGGGAGGGGGCACCGCTGAGCAGAGGTGTTGCTGAGATTTGAGGTGGAATCACAGGGACTTGGCAGCCTCACAGCTGGGGGGCAGTGCCGGCCCAGAGCCCAGAAGCAGGAGTTGGGACCTGTGGCTGAAGCTCTGGGGGGAGGCACCGCACAGGAAGGGGATGAGCCAGGTGCCCTTTACCCGCAGGCCTGGAGTTTGCATACGGGGCGGCACCACGTACCATGCAGAGCACCATCCTGGGCATCTTCTTCTGTCTGTCAGGCATGGGCTCATTGCTGGGCTCCAGCCTGGTAGCTCTGCTGTCCCTACCAGGAGGCTGGATGTACTGCCCCACGGACCTCGGTAAGCACGGCTGGACAGTGGCGGGCAGCGCTGTTGCCTCGACCTGGGTACAGTGAGCTAGGAGGCTGGATGTGGGGGTCCTGGGGTGAAGCCCCAACCTGGCATTACCTATAGCACAGCTGCCCTGTGGACGCATCGGCAGTCCAGACATTAGCCAGAACTCTGCTCCCTCATGGCACCTCTGGCCACTAGGGCGGAGCAGTCACTTTAGGTGGTATCAGCCCTCAAGTGAATGGGGCATGGGGTCAGGCACAAAGCTGCACACAAGGTTGTCTGCCCACCCAGTGTCCTTAGAGCCCAGCTCGGACCCTGCCTGACACACGTGTCTGCCCACAGGGACTGGCAGCACCTGCCGCATGGACCGCTACTTCTTCCTGCTGGCTGGTGTCCAGGCTGCTGCAGCTGTCCTATTCACCTGGACCGCACGGCACTATGAGAGGACACGGCGGGTCTTGGCCCGCCAGCATGGTCCACCCACACCCAGGCTGCCTGTGCCCCCACACCCCCCGAACCACCGTAACCCAGACACAGACAGCAGCAGGGCCGCACCACATGGCACATCCTCAGTTTATTCCAGACCCAACGTGGAAGACGTTGGTTCCCATAAATAAGAGCCCTGCCTAGACCTCAGTCCATGCAAGGGTGGGGGCAGGGGACCAGGCAGGAATGCAGGTCAGTGAGCACCAGAGGGTGAGCAGGGACAGGCAGGAGTCCCTGGGTCCCGCTGGCTGGTACGTCAGGAGCTGCCCCGGATGCGCTCCATGTAGTTGCGGAGCTCCTCGGGGTCCTTCAGCCCCATGTCCTCACACACCCAGCGGATGTCTTCCTCGCCTGCCACCAGGATGGACTGCACAGCAACGGGCTCCTCAGGCAGCTGGGCTGGGGGCACTGGTGAGAATGTCACAAACTCCACACGCTTACGCCGTCCCCCAGCTTCCTTGCGGGTCAGGGTGCTAGTAGGGCCGGGGGTGTTCCCAGGCAGCCCAGGGACGGGGACAGGGACTGGGGTCTGGGCCTCTCCTCCCACCCCGCTTCCACAGGGGCAGCTGCCCTCCCTGCTGGGCAGCTCGGGGGCCCCGCGGTCCAGCTGGCGGCTCAGCTCTTCCTGGTCAGTGCCCAGCCACACCCAGTTGTGGGGCTGCGGGGAAGCAGGGTCGGCTGCACTGTCTGGGGGCTCCTTGCGCTGGTAGCGCAGCACAAAAACCACGCCATTGACTAGGAAGATGAGGATGGCCAGGCAGAAGATGCCCAGCAGTGCGTACATGCCCAGCTCTAGGTCTGTGATGCGCTGCAGGGCTGGCACCATTTCCTCCTCTTCTTCCTGCTCCTCCTCTTCCTCCTCCTTGGCCGCTGTGTCCTCTTCTGCCTGCTCGAACTTGCCCCTCACACCCACGCCACCTGCTGCCTGCCGCTTGCCCCCAATGCTAGCCTCAGTGGCTGGTGGGCTCCAGGCCGGGCTCGACGGGAGGGCACGTGCGGGCGTGGGTGTGGGGGGCAGACCCAGCCAGGCAGTGCCAGAGGCCAGGGGCACTCGGTGGCGGCCACGGCGGCAGGGCTCAGGCGGATGCAGGGCCACATGCAGGGGCAGTGCCTCAGCACCCACCCCGCTCACCAGTACCCCAAGCCATGCGCCCTGCTCTGTGGTGGGCAGGACAGCACTGGGTTCCTCGGCTGAGACGGACAACCCCAGGTCTCGGCGGTCATAGAGCTCAGCAGGGGCCTCAGTGTGGTCAGAGAAGGACAGCCACAGGGAAAGGGCCACTTCCTGCGGGACACACGAACACAGGCAGACACGCGAGGGCACGCACGCATGCATGGGAGGCCACTCCCACATAAACAGGCCACATGGACGCAGTAGAGAGTAGAGAAGGAACACACAGGCAAGGACAGGACACGGGGAGAGAGGGGACACATGTCAATCACCTGTTGGCCACAGCCCCAGGGCTGTCTGGGGGGTCCTCAGTGAGATCACCTAAGCCACCCCACCCCAGCACACTGCAGCTGGCCGTGCAGTCCCCTCTGGACACAGCTACCTCCTGGGAAGCTGGTGCTCATTCTGAAAGCCTTTGGGAGGGCCCAGGTACCAGGGTCCCGCTTCCCACTCTGCTCTCCCACGGCCAGGGTGGACCTCACAGCCCTAGCCCACAGCCATCACCTGCTTCTGGCCAGGAACAGCTGACTGTGCCCAGCAGGTGGCCGTGACCTCGCCAGGGTGGGCAGTGCCCCGGCTCAAGGCCAGCGAGATGCCCATCACAGGCTGCACCCGCAACTCCAGCACAGACACCTTGTCGTCAGTCACAGCTAGCGCCTGCTCCCCAAGGATGGCGCCAGACAGCGGGGACCGCACCTGGGGGGATGGAGGAGATGGGCGCTACTCCCTCACCTCCAGCGCTACCCGTGCCCATTCACACCTGGGCCCAGCCCTCCATAGACAGCCCGGCATACCCAGAGGACCTGTCTGGGGACCTATGCACCTGAAGCCACAACAGGCCCCTGAACCCTGCCCACGAGCAATGGTTCCACCTGCACCTTTACACTTGCCACTCATGCACGCTGGTGCGGCCCGTCCTCCAACCCTGCTCACCTCGATGGCAGTGACACCGGGTTCCCGGCCCACGAGCACAGGGCCACCTTCCAGCGAGGCCACGCGCGGGTCCTGTACATGGGCATGCGGCAACACCAGGTCGGTCACGTCCAGCAGCCAGTCCGGGCCCAGCAGGTGCTCAAGGTGCCTGCCGTCCTGCGTGTGCGCCGCGAAGGGCGCGAGGACACGCACACTTGCTCGCTGATAGAGTAGCCGGCAGCTCCGGGAGCGCGGCTCGGCCTCCTCGACAGCCGGATTGGGCTCCAGCGCGCTGCGGGGGCGGGGCGTCAGTGGGCCACGCCTCTGAAGCCTTTAATGAGGCCGCGACAGCTACTGGTGGGCGTGGCCACCCAGCCCTCAAGGACCAGCCCAGAGGACCAGGAAGGGGGCTTGGGCCCAGCCTTGTGGAGCCCAGCTTTGTGCCTGCTTAGACTCTGGGGCTGATGCTCTGGTCAGGAAGGAAGAAGGAGGAGAGGAGAGGGGAGGGAGGTCGAGGCACCGCAACCCAGCCCACGGCACTCACCCATCGGTGGGGCCCGGGACCCTCCAGCCCCGGACCTGCTCAAGGGTGGCATCGCTCAGCTCGATCCGCAGGGGCAACAGCGGGGCCCACACTGTCAGCAGCAGTGAGGCGCGCAGCCGGCGCCACCAGAAATCCACCCGCACCCCCTTGGCACCCCGGCTCTCGGTGCCAGCCACAAACACTGTGTCACAGGCCTCGGACACCTGGGGGCAGCAACAGGCCCGAAGGACAGGAGAGAACAAGCTTGTCTTGACCCTGACCACAGCAGGGTGCCACCAGACCTGAGCCTGCTGGGGAGCCTGTTCTAGAGGGCCCAGGTTGCTGGGTAGCCTAGATCATCCTGTAGGGCTGGCTGGGATCTGCAGCTCACTGCCACCTCCCGACAGGGACTGGGCCAGAAAGCCACCTGTGCTGTGACTTTACAAGACTCTAATACTAATAATTATTGCACAGGCCCTACAGTGTAACAGAGTTGTTGCTTGGCCCTTGGTATCAGCTGGGCATAGTCTAGGTGCTTTTAATTCTCATAGCCCAAAGGTACTGCCACAGTAAACTTGAGGAAACTGAGACTCATGGAAGTTGAGACCTGCCCGCTGTCACATAGCCACTTGGTAACAGAGAGTGCAAGCCCAGAATGGTGGCCCACACCTGTCATCCCAATACACGGGGAGGCTGAGGCAGAAGGACAAGCTCAAGCCCAGCCCCGGCAACTTTAGTGACTTGGCAAGACTGTATCTCAAAATAAAAATAAGACAAAGACTTAGCTCTGGGCATAGGCCCTGCATTCAGTCCCTAACAGGAATGTGCCCACAGTTGGGGGTAAAGGGCCCCACGTGACCTGAGATGGGGCTGGAAGCCTGGGTTCTTCCGCCTGAGAAGTTTGTGGGTAAGCACTGGCTGTCCCAGGGTCCCCAGGAAAGGGATGGTGTGTGCACTGCCCCACTGTCCATGTATCCTCACCTGCAAGACCTGGGTATTGGCCGACTCGCAGCCAATGTGCTCGGTCACTTCCACCAGGACACCCCCAGTGTCCACGGTGACCAGGCGCACAGGAATGCGGCCAGGGTGTCCAGTCAGTGGTGCTGTGTTCACCAGCTCCTCAACCTGCAGGCAAGAGGCAGACATCAGCCCTGGCCTCACCCACAGTGTGGACCAGAGGGATGTGGATGCCCCTTACCTTGGCCAGCGGGACAAGTGCTCTGGTGTCCCGCTCAGACACCAGGATCTCCCACACCATTTTGTCTTTCTCTGCATCGGGGGCCTGGCCTGGGTACTCCAGCTGCCAGGTGATGGGCCGTGTGACTGCTACACCCACGCCGGTGCCGTTCTCCACCAGGAAGTCCACCCACAGGAACTCTGACAGCTCGGGGGAGCTGCTGCCAGGGAGAGAATGCTGAGGGCCTGCTGGCTGCACCTGGACACCAGGGCAGAGGCTGGCCGCTCATCCAAGGTCACACAGCGAGGTGGCAGTGCTGTGTAAAGAGCCCCTCTTGAACCTCTGCTGTCCAAGGCTCCTGGCAAAGCCTGGTACCAGCATCCACCGGGTGACCACAGAGCCCCAGGCCTCTCAGCCTTTTGACCCTCACGGCTGCCTCTCCCTTCTTGGTGATGCTGGGCTGGGACCCAGGTCCTCTGTGCAGTTACATCCCCAGCTCCTTTCGTATTTTTCATTTTGAGACTAGGTTTCACTAAAGTGTGGAGCTGGCTTCAAACTTGAGTCTTCAGCCTCAGCCTCCGAGACTACAGGGATGACAGGCATGCAACACCACATCCAGCTTTAGAGACTCCAACTAAACACCTACATGCCGGGGACTGGGTTTTATTTCAGTGGATCCTGGGGATGTGTTTTCACCCTGGCTTATAAATGGAGAAACTGAGGCTGGGGTGGGGGAGCTAGCTGGCTTGTCCAAGTTACTGGTCCAGCTAATACCAGAACCAGGATCCAGACAGAAGCAGCAAGGCCCATGACCTTAGCCAAGGAAGAGCTCATGGGTGCTGCTGCAGGGAGCTTTCCTTGCGAGTTTCAGTGGCCCTGGTGACAGGGCTGGATCGGTGGGCGTGGGGAGGGAGGAGCCCCAGGAGCTGTCACAGAGGAGCTGGGCAGGCCTCAGACACTGGCTGCCCCTGGTCTGTGGCACAGTGAACAGGCAGTTGGGTATGCTGGCCGTGTGCCTCCTTCTAACGTAGGTCCTCACCCGTACTGGCCCTCCTGCCTGCCAGCACCCGGGCATCCTCCCTTCTTGCCCACCTGGAGTCTGGTCCCTCAGGCCCCAAGAGTTGACAGGTGATGAGGGTGCTGTGGTGCTTGGAGCCCTTGACGCGGTCCAGCGTAGCCGTCCAGAGCATGGGCTGTGCTGGGCGGGCAGCCACCACCTGCAGCCCCTTCTTCACCTTAATCCTGGGAGAAGGAGTCAGAGCTCAGGGTTGGTACCTGCTCCTTGTGTTCTCAAATACCTGGCCTTTGGCCCAAGGCCACTGCCAACTTCCTGCTGGCCACAGCCTCTAGCTGTGGTCTGGATCCAAGGTTCTCCGGCTGTCCCCTGCATCTGGTTGTGGCAGCTCCACCCACACACCCTAAGTCCCTGGCCCAACATGCAGTACACCTGGGGCTCCAAGCCTGCTCAGCTGGAGGCCCTTGCCTCAATCTGCCCCTCGACAACTGACCTGTGACCATGCCTCACCCTTCACCCATGGGGGCCCCTGGGTCCCAGGTCTCCTGCCCAGGCAGCTCCCTTCCAGCTCCCGACGGGCCTGGCCCTGTTCCTCTCCGCCTCCTGGATGCAGACCTGGTCTGGCCTGCTGCATCCCTGCACAACCCGTCTGGCAAGCGTTCATGGGAGAACAAGAACAAGCAGGGGACTGGGACACTGAGGTGGAGGTGCAGGAGGCTGTGGCAGAGGTAGGTCACCCTGCTGTCCTTGTCAGCTGGGTGGGATGGGACAGGGCTGGAGTGTCCAGGGTCATCCTGCAGGGCCCAGAGTGAATGTGGTCAGCACAGTAGGGCAGCGGGCAGGGGATATGAGGGGAAGAGGTATGTGGGGCATGGAACCTCTCTGGCATCACAGAAGCCCTGGCCACTGCACCTCAGGGTCCCCTCTCTGGACCACAGCTGGGTCAGCTCTGTGGGAGAAGGGACTGGGGTGACCATCACCAGGTCACCAGGGCACACACTCGCTGCCCAAAGGGCCCATGCACACGTGTTTTGCGGGGCTGAAGGTTGCGCCAAAGGCTCCCTACCACCACCTATTCTCACCGCAGGGTCAGGACACTGGCTGTGAAGTTGTGTCTCAGAAGAACAGTGGCCGTGAATGGCTGGCCTGGCCGCACAGGTGCATCGGGCACCCGCAGAGTCACTGCCTCATCCAGAGGCACCTCCTGGTGCTGTGGGGGGTCCTCGGGGCGAAGCTCCACGCTATCCACTGGGAAGGCCTGCTGCCCAGGGTCCTCATCCCCACCAGGGGCACAGCCCCCAGGGCCCTCAGCCGTGGGCTCCAACGTGTAGGCCAGTGCAGCCCGAGAGGAGGTACCCCATGAGAACCAGGGTGCAGGCAGCTCCAGCTCCACCACGCAGGCACCCAGCGCAGGCTATGGGGACAGGGATGGGCAGTGGTCAGCTGGGTTGGTGACATCCCAGCAAAAGAAACCCAGCAACACATCCTGTAGGACACAAGCCAGATGTGTGCAGGATCCTATCGGGCTAGAACACTCTGGGGGCTCACCAACCTCACCCACAACCCATGTTCCTCCCTCAACTCCTAAGCCCAAGCAGGGCCCTCTCCCAGACATCCCAGCCAGCCCCGAGACGGTGGGAACAGGACTGTACCAGTAGGCTGGGCACCTTGCCAGTTACAAGCTGGGTTCTGTCCCCAACCCCAGAAGAAAATCACACAAGGGATACTAAGAGCCAGGTGTGGTGGCTCATGGGCCTGTAACTGCCAGCACTTAAGGACGCTGAGGCATGAGCCGGTTTTAGGCTAGCCTGTGCTACATAGTGAGACCCTGTCTCGAAAGAATAATAAGATTACATTAAAAAACAAAAAGTATTGTGGCAGGGAGGCCACACTACCCTGCAACCTCACTGTCCTCTCCTTTACCCCTTGCTACAGCCCAGTTCACCAATGTCCTAAAGACACTGTTTGCCGGCTTCATGTGCAGTAGACCCTAAAGGACAGGATGCTTTCCCAGGACTGGCCCTGGGCACCAGGCCCCCAGCGTTGCCCACTCACCTGGACACGGCAGGCACGGTGGGCAGTGCCCTCGGGGTGCATGGCATACAGCCGGGCACAGGGCAGGCTGCCAGGCCCTGGTGGCCAGTCCTGCCCTTTGAGGTGGAAGAGGACGCGGGCATGGGGCTTTGCTGGGGTCACAGTCGCCTCCACAGAAACAGCCCGCACGTCCCACGGGACTGGCCGATGCAGGGGTTCTGTGGCCCGAGGGGGCACGACCTGAAGGAGGCAGTGGCTCAGTGAGGGGAGCCGCCAGCCCCATCCCGCGCCCCCCAAAGCCCTGGGCTGCTCCTACCTGCTGGGTGGTGAAAGGTGGGTAGGAGGCCCGGAAGAGTGGCTGGGCCCTGGGCCAGGGATGTAGCAGCAGGAAGGTCTCAGATCTCGAGCCCAGGGAGGAGTTGACAGGCGGGTAGTGGCCGAGCTGCTGTGCACGAAAGTACTCGGGGGCATCCAGGAGCTCCAGGGTCGCAGGCAGGTACACATCCCAACCACTGTGTGCTGAGAAGGAGGAGGGCGGATGTGTTGAGCGCCTCAGAGCCAGCAGGGCTGTGCTGGGCTCTGCATGGACATGCGGGGCCGTGGTGGAGGGACAGAAGGCATGGTGTGTCCCACAGAGGGACAAATGGGCTCAAAAAGCTGCACCTGGGTAGCATGCAACAAAACCAGATTCAAACTCCATCACTGACTAGACTCTGGTGCCTGGCCTGGGGCACAACACCCCCACCAACAGTGTAGAGATGGGTTTAGGGGGACAAACCCCTCCCCTGCCACTCTCCTCAGCCACAGCATTGCCGTAGCAACCCACTGCATCTCCAGGAACATGCCATCAGGTGGGAGGTGGTGCCCGAGAGGCGTGTGAGGCCAGTGCAGCCCTGGGGGCGGCTGCAGCCCAGGGGACACGGAGCAGCCCTCTCAGCTCCCACGACAGGAGCACCAGCAGCTCGATATCCACGGGTAGGGCTGGCCGAGCTGCTGCCCACTTCCTGAGGAAGCTGAGGCAGGGTGGTCATTTTCGCTCCAGGCCACAGGGTAAGTTCAAGGCCAGCCTGGACTACACAGTGAGACCATTTAGAAAATCTAAAAACTAGAAATAAGATACACAGACACGTCAGCCCTTGTTCGGATGAAGGTCTGAATGCTAACCAAGCATAGGTGCCAGTCTGAGTACTCCCTATGTTCATGACCCTAGGATCCTAGCTGAGAATTGGGTTCCACAGACCTCTTGGCAGGCAGGAAATGTGGCAGAGCTGAGGTCCCAGCAGCACACAGCAGCCAGAGCCCTGCTGCCCCAGCCTCCACCCGCACCCACATGGCTACGAAGCCAGCTCTGCTCTGCAAGGAAGCCCTCCGAGATCACTGGCCAGCAGCTCCCTGCCCAGGCCAGGAAGGTGAGAGCAGAGACCGATCTATGTCCTAGTTCTGCCTCTGGGCTGGGAGCCAGTCTTGCCCGTCCAGCCTCAGTGTTTTCACCCGTGCAACGGACAGGGCATTGGTGAGGCTATGTGTCCAGGTGGAGATATTGCCTGCCCGGTGGGTGTGCCAGCTTCCCTGCCCTCAGGGAGGGCCCTTAGATTGAGCCAGGTGGGGAAGAGCAGCCCCCAGCCAGAAGGGACACAGCTCGGCCCACCTCCCAGCCTTTCCCACTGGGGCCAGCATCTGAGATGCCCCAGACCTCACATCATCGCCATCCCCATTGCTGTCAGGTGAGGGACCCCATCCCCTCCTCCTCCATGCTCTGGGCAGCAGCAAAGTGTCTCCAGCTGGACACCCAGCCCTCCACCTCAACCCTGGGGTGCAGAGAGGCAAGAGTGAGTTGGAAGCCCAGGGCAGGGTGGGCTGGCCTGTCCCGTGGTCCCCAGTTCAGGGGCTGCTCATTCCTTGGGTTGGGGGTGGGGCAGGGGGAAGGTGCTGGGGCCTCAGGCTCCAGCCCAGGGAGCGGTTCCAGGGAGGGGAAAGAGGGACACCAGTGCCAAGAGCAGGGCAGCTCCACTAGCTGCAGGGGCCATGGAGGGGACCAAGAGAGGATAGAGGGGATCCTGGAGAGGATTGTGGTGGGGACCTTTGAGGTGACTGCAGAAGTCACACTGGAGGAGCAGAGGACAGGCCACCAGGGGAGGGGATCATGGAGGTGATGATGGAGGGGAACTGACAGCAGACTGAGGCGGAGATGTGGGGAGCAACCTGGAAGGCCTTGGAGGAGTCGATAGGGAGGAGGGGACAGTGAGAGGCACTCGCAGACCAGGCTGTGCGGGTCCAGGGGCTGCAGCATACACAGGCCCCAGTCCAGTGGTGACCTCCCGCCGCCCAGGTCCCCCGCTGACCTCGAGTGGTGTCCAGGACCAGGGCCACCAGGAGGCAGAGCGGGGCTCTGCGGGGCGCCGCCATCGGTCCACGCGCTCAGGGTACCGCGCCCCGCATCTCCTGCCGCAGCCGACTTGCCCGGATCGGCTCAGATCGGATCGGCCAGCGTGGGTACGGCCCCGCTCAGATTGAGACAATGGAGCGCGCTGGAGGCCACGAGACCGACTCCAGGCCGCCCTCACTGCCGGGTCCTAGCGCCGCACCGAAGCAGGCAAGCAGGCGGGAAGGAAGGAGCCGCCCCCAGGCTGGGCCGGCTGGACTGTGGTCTGCCCCCTGCCGGTGGACACGGAGCACTGCTGCCACCTGGGAGTGTGTCACCTACACAGGCACTGGAGTGGTGGGAAGAAAGAGGCCAAGATGACAGACAGCCCTTGGGCCTGCTCTCCAGAGCTCCATGCACAGGACCCTCTGCCACCTAGTCCAGCTGGGAGTTCTCAGGTGCAGCTGGGCATCGGGAGCAAAAAGCCATGCCCAACCTGTGAACCCAGGCAAGAACCTCTGTGCCAGGAGGGCAGGGTCCTGGCTGCAGGCTAATGCACTCTTGGGAGAGGTGGGGACATCACAACACAAACCAAGTAAATACACTTGAGAACAAAATAGTAAAATAGCGTGCACTTTATTTAAAATCAATCAAGCACTGATAAAAATACACGTCACTGTGCTGTCTTTCACATCAAACCTTAGCAGTCAGAAGTGGCACAGAGGTGGCCACCTGCTCTGCTGGAGCACAAGGAAGGGCAGGACCGGCAGAGGAGCACTCATCAGCTTGCTGCGCTCATCCTTGGGCAGCTCCCGGGCAGGGCTGGAGACCAACATGCGCAGGAAGCCACCCCCTGCCTCGGGGGTCTCAGCTCCGGCTGACAAGGCCAGGAGGTGGGTGCCCCACAGTCTATGACGGCAGCTATAGCACAGTCCTGCTACAGGACGGCAGCAGCAGGCGGGACACCGCCGGCTCGGATTAAGGCACTTGTAACACAGGTGTACTGCTTGCAGCCTGCGGTCCTGCTCCATCCAGGATGGCAGGGCGCAGTGCCAGCACAGGACTGGAGGGGGGAAAGGCGGGTAGATGGCCAGGGGGTTGGCAGGGCCAAGCAGCATCAGGGGGCAGTCAGGTCATGGGAGGTGGGGGCCAGAGGCAGCAGCCAAAACTGACCTGCACTCCTGCCCCAGCACATTGGCAGGAAACCCAGGGCTACCCTCCCCAAGCCCGGGGGCTGCAGCGGGGAGGTGCAGGCAGCCGAAAGCAGCTCAGCTCTTTGGTGTGGTGCAGGGGGTTCTGCAGGGGTCCCTGTCATTCCTCCTCCGTGCTACGGGGTCCCCGGGCCGCACGCTTCTGCCTCCAGCGCAGCTCCTCCACCTGGCGCTCCAGCCCACGCACCTTGGCCTCCAGTGGGGCACCAGAGGCTCTCGAGCCGGTGAGGTGGCTCAGCAGGGCGTAGAGGGTCAGCAGGGCCAGCAGCAGCAGTGCCCGTGTGGAAGGGTCAGGCACTGACCTCACTAGGGCTACAAAGCCAGCCAGGAAGGCGATGAGCTTCAGACCGCCCAGTATACGGCCCAGCAGGGCCAGGAACAGGCCAAGGAGCAGGGACAGCAGCCAGTAGGTGACCAGGGCACCTGCGCCCCACAGCAGGAAGGTCTGGACCTGGGCGGGGCTTAGCTTCAAGCCCTGGGTGAGGTAATTGCCTGGAAGGGAGAGCGGCCATCAGCAGATGGAACGCAGGTGGAGCTGGAGCAAGGGGCCATGCTGTCCCTATGAAGCCAGCACCCCAGTGAGGAGTTGTGGGCTTCCTGACCGATGCTGGACTCTCCTGGGACCCTGGTCCACCTGAGACACCAGCTCATCCTCTCCGGGCTGTGGTTAACCATAAATGAGAGGCTGGGGCTCCATGTGAGGCTGCCGTAAGGTAAAGGTGGTGGTTGCGGCCTGCTCGTGGGCCACACCTCTGGGAAGGCCCGGAACACACCCTGCCCAGGTGGAAGGTGCCCTGCTGGTTGGTTCACTCACCATCCAGCCCCAGGGCGTTCAGCAGCTGAGCTGCAATCCCAGACACAGCAAAGAAGGCCACCGAGATGCCTGAGGAGACGGCCCACGCCACTTGTGCCAGGGTCTGTGGAAAAAGCACGTGTGAGCTGCTCCCGGGCCAGTGTCTGAGGCCTGGCTCAGAGGGGACTGGGGCTGGCTGAGGGGGCCCTGCCCTCCCGGAGCACAGAATGGACACTGCTTCCCCACCTGAGCTGGAAAGCAGGATACCTCGGAACCAATCAGCCTACTGGCCCAGCCCTGGGGAGGCAGCAGGAGTGCCTCTATACATGCCACTAGGGGGCGCCACGAGGAGTTATATCCCTGATTTTATGTCTGCAGGCCTGGACCTTCTCAAGCTCACCACCAGACTGCACAGTCCCCTGCTTGTACAGGTGGGGATAGGTGGGTCCAGAACTCTCATCAGTGAGTCCTTGATGAAGGTCTGAAGTGGATGCATTTTGACTAGGTCTTTTGACTAGGTCAGAGAGGAGCCAGGGCAGACAGGCTGGGGCTGAGAGGGCCTGGAGTGGGGGCAGGGGGAGGGGCCAGGTGTGGAGTTTGGGGCTCTATACACTGGGATTCCAGCCCAGGGGGCCCGGTGCCAAGCTGTGTCCTTCGGCTTGCGCTGACCTTGTCTTCCTCACCTCTGACACCCAGTGCATGGTCTCGCGGCCCAGCCAGCTGTCCAGTGTTCCCCGCAGCGCTCGCCCAAGCTGGGTCAAGGGGTCAGCGGCAGCCTCCTTCTTCTGCTGGCCTGGTGGTGTGAAGTCCCGGTGAGGCTGGGATACAGCTCCATGGAGGAGGGTGAGGGTCACAAGGACTGCCAGGCTGGCTCTGAGCATGCACATGGCCTGTGCTGGACGGCCACCAGGGGCTGCCATGGCTGGGGCTGCTGCAGGAGAATCAGTGGTTGGAGTCGGGGCTGGCAGGAGCCCTGACTCCCCGGCTCGTCATGGCCAGGGGAAGACCAGCCTGGCACTCCCAGCTGGATGCAGCACTGCCTCCTAAACAGCTCCTCTTTCCAATCACCTTAATATTGATTGGCAGGCAAGCGCAGGGCGAGGCCTGGTCATGCTCTTTAAGGTTTATTCCAGTTCTAAAACCTGCCAGTTAGGTGCTAGGGCCATGGGAACATGAGGACTCTCACACCTGGGCTCTCCCTGGGAGCAGAGAATGCACTTAATAAAACTGACAACTTCACACAGCAGGACCACTACCAGCACAGAGAGCAGGCAAGATACCCAGCAGGAGGGACCGCATGGTTGCAGGGTCCTCTCCTCAAGGTCCCTCATATGGATGAGGTCCCCAAGCTTCTGCCTCCAGCACTACCCTCCTGGGGTCAGGACATAGGTGGGTCTCAAGCAGCCCATTTTGTGGGACCACCTGGTGCGCCACACAGCACACCCATGCATGTCCCAAGCCCGAGGCTTTGACATCATTGTCTTAGGTGACATAAAGCCTCCCACACACGTCTACTGCACAAACCTGAGAGTCACTGCAAAGACATAGGAAAAGCTATCACTTGATCCTCACAGATGGCTCTGTGACGCCAGGAGGGAACCCATCTGTGCCATGCCACCTGGCTACCCACCTGCCAAGACATAGGCACAGCCCTGGCAGTCACCCTGTACTCTGTCCAACTGTGACGCATCCTGCTTCCTACCTCACTTCCTCTGGCTCCATCATCTGTGAGAGCGGCACCAGAATTCAGGGAGACATTTGTCTGCTGCGTACCCCAGAGCAGAAAGTGGCCAAGACCCAAAGCCTGAACCACTTCCAGGGGCACCAGCTTCTGGGCCTCCCCACATGAGGAAGCGGCTACCAGGGGCTATGAGAACTGTGACCTCTGGAGAGGAATTCTTCGGCTGGTTGACCAAGTCCTCAGTGCCCTCCTCCCCAGCCCCGGCACAGCCCCCCATCACCCTCATCACCCGGTGTGCCTAAAAGATCCGATATAAATAAATCCTGTGTCTTCACCCTCACAAGATGCTACACACTGGTGCTGTCAAGATTTAGACAAAGGACCCCTCACTGCTCGGAACCAGGACCTGTCACTCAGGGAAGTAGGAGCTCTGTGCCATCGTCATATGTAGATGCATTAGCACACACACACTCAGGCACTGAACAGGCAGTTCCACTTCCATCCCAAACCAGCAAAGGTTGAGGGCAGCCCCAAGGAACACAAGGCTGGCTGGCCTTGCCTGACTTCCCAGCTCCCTGAAACCCATCTGTGTCTGCCCCCGCCCCCAGGAAGAAGGGACTGTAAGTAGGAAAGAGGAGATCCGGAGGGGACTGCAGGCTCCGCTGCATGTCTCCATGAGGGTCTCAGAAGTGACTTAGAAAGCCGGGCAACAGGTCATCCATGTGCCAGTCAGCTGGGTAGGTTACTGGCAGCGCCTCACACCTGGCGCTTGGAACCACCCATAACTTGATGCTGAACACAGATTAAGAACCAACTCACACCAACTCATCGAGGAGGGCGAGTATCATCAGAACGTCTGCGGGTCAGCCTTCTGCTTGAAGCCATGCTGCTCAGACAGCACAGTGCATCCCCTCCTGCCCCAGATGAGAGATGACTCAGGGGTTCCTGGGAGCTTCCAGAACCAGGCCTGTGGGCCAGAAGTCAGACAAGGCCCCAGGCCAAGAGCAGTCACCAAGGCCCACAGTGGCCAGAAATCTTTAGCTGTGGGGAAGGTGGTGAGGAAGAAAAGGGTGTTCTCATTCTTGCTTACTGGGAAGGAAACGGCTCCAAAAAAAGGCTTCTAAAAATAATACATTCTGGGTGCTGTCTGGCCCAGAGCAGCTGCCCTGCTGCTGCCCTGGAGGGTCAAGTAGGCTGCAAAGCTTGAGGTGCTCAGGGACCAGCACTGGACAGGGAAAGCTTCTCCCTCTTGTGGACACCAGGCAAGAAGCAGATGGGTCCTGCTTACCAGGGCTACAGAGGACGGTCTCTGACCACTGTGGGGCACAGGTACAACCACAACCACAACACTTAGGACTCTAGCACCAGCGGCTGCCCTGGGTTGGATCTTGTGTCCTGGGCCTCCCCTAAGAGGAATTAGATGTCGTCTCCTCCCCCACAGAAGGTCGGAGTCACAGTGCCTCCTCCCACACAGAAGGGGCCTGCTTCACTCTGTGCCAGCCTCCACCTTCAGATGGCCATCTGCCCTGAGCTGGGGGACCTGAAATAGACACCCCACAGCCCTGCCAGGTGACCAACTCGACCAGGGTCCCTGGGATGCCATTTGGACAAACTAAATCCAGATGACCAGCTGGTCGGTTTCTCAAGGCTGCTCTCCTTCTTCTCCTTCAACTTCTTCTCCTTCTTCTTTTTTATCTTTTTAAGACACAGTTTCACCGTTCAGTTCAGGTTGGCCTTGAACTCACTTTGTAGCCCAGGATAGCCTCAAACTTGCGGTGATCCTCCTGCTTCAACCTCCTGAGTCCTGGGATTACAGGTGTGGACCACCATGCCTGGCTCAGAGCTGCTCTTTAACAGGATTTCTGCTCACTACTTCTGGGTCAAGCTCAGGCCACAGACACTGACCGTCATCACTCTGTCTCCTCACTTCAGCCTAATCAAACCTAATTTTTTTTGGGGGGGGGGCAGTACTGAGGATTGAATCCAGGGTCCTGGTACTAAGCTACATCCCCAATCCTTTTATTCTTTACTTTGAGACAAGGTCTTGCTAAGTTGTCCAGGTTGGGCTTGAACTTGCAATCCTCTTGCCTCAACCTCCTAGAGTACTGGGATTATAGGTATGTGACATCATGCCTAGCTTCAAATCCTTTAATAAACAAAAAGACCATGATAATCAAAAGCTGATCAGTCTCAACCAAGAGGTAAAAGTACATTTTATACTTTTTCATGTCCCACAATGCCTAACCTCAGTCACACAGTAGACACTAGACGATAACAATTTTTATTTATTGTATATATAAAACTTTTTGTATAGTGCTTTCTAATTACAAAGAACTTACTACTTTGCTATGTGATTTAACTCCTACAATGACCTTGTATTTCAGCCCCCTCTACCTCACTCAGACAAGTGTGGCTCAGAGAGGCCCAGGGACTACCAATGATCACACGGCAGAACCAGGACTGGGTTCCACTACCCAAGGCCCCATCCCATCCCCCAAAGCACCTCATAAAATGTCCCTACCCACAAGAGGCTTAAAGTTCTGCCAGGAGCAGGAAGTGTGTGAGGTCCCATTAGGGTGTTGGGCACCAGGAGGTCTGAGAAGACAGGAGGGAGGTGCAGCCCTCCTGCTTCTGCTCAGGAGCAGAGGCACCACTCAGGCAGGGCATGGAAGAGTGGCTGGGCTGGGCAAACTGCCTGCCTCTCCACACTGGTGTTTGCACTGGTGTAAGAACTGCAGGGCTGGCTGTAGCCTGGTCCTTTCTAGCTCTGCCAATGCTCAGCCCCTCTCTTCCCTTTCAGACTGTGAGTCACTGTAGCTTAGGGGACTGCCCCTAGGGGGCGGTAGATGCCTCAGCAAGGAGCCTCCCCACCAGGGTTGCTCATTCACTGTCCGAACTCAGCCTTTAGTATAAAAAGTTTCCCAGAGATCCCTGATACACAACCAGACAGCTGCCACAGACGGCCAGCAGATCAGGGAACAATGTGTTAGGCAAAGCCACTTGAGCGCAGCAGTGCACAAAGGACCATAGACTTCCACTGTAGGCTCAATTCAGCCAAAAACCAAAAGCAACCACCCTTTTTTAAAATTATTTTTCGGATGGAGACTAGCTGTGCAGCCCAAGCTGGTCTCCAACTGGAGGTCTTCCTGCTTCCAGCCTGCCAAGTACTGGGATTACAGCAGTGCACTACCATGCCAGGTTTAAGCCACTACTTCTTAACCTATCTGAGTTTCACTCTTCTCAAATTTAAAACCGGGTGAAGCCAGGTTGTGGGTTGCTGCAAGCAGTCACGATGTTTCTACAAGCACTTTGTAAACAGGTAGAAGGTGACAGCCCACACATGTGCCACTCACTGAGTTGTGCCAGCATGTGGCAATGCATCCCGAGACTACCCACACCTGGTAGGCAGGCCGGACGCCTAACTCTGCTTGCAGTCCCCAGCGCCTCACACAGAACAGAAAGATAACTAACAAAACGCTCATCAAGAAGCACTAAGTGTAAGACATAGACACGGAGAGGTGAGAAGAAAGCGGTTATTTTAACAGTGGATCCAAATATAAGTGGCCACCCGAGAAACTCAGCTGGGTGGAAGCAGCATGAAGTCAGCGTCCTGGCACGTCGGGCGGCCCCCAGTTAAGTCCCACAGTTGTGGCCCAGCAACTGCTCGGGGCTGGGTGACGGAGCTGAGGCAGCTCTGCCGCCCTCCATTGGGCCAAGCTCCGGGGCGGGGTGTCGGTGGCAAATGCTATTTCGGACAGCTGTCCTTGCCAAGCGGCAGTGTCGAAAACGGGCAGGGGACACTGGGCGGCCCACGAGCTAGGACCCGGTTAAGCGCAACTCCGCGGGGCGAGAGGCAAGGCCGCGAGGGTCGAAGGTGTAGGTTGGGGTTCAGGGCCGCGCCCTGCAGCCGGGAAGCCCCGCGCATCTCCGGCATCACGCTCACCCGCTGCATTAGAGAAACCCGCGCCTCCTGTTACTTAGCAACACCTCCCCCGGTTGCGTAGCAACAAGGATCCGGGTCCCAGGGGCTCGACCCGCCGCTCGACGTCGGATAACTCCCCGCTTCGGTCTCGAGCCGGGCGGCTGCGCCCTGCTCTCCTCTCGGAGCCGCGGCGCCTCGACCTCGTGTGCGGCCGCCCAGCTCGCCCTCGGCCCGCACTCACCCGACTCTGTCCTCTGCTATGCTACACACGTGCGACTTCGCAGAAACGCGCCGCTAAACCCGCGCCTCAACTCCCAGGCGTCGGGTTGCGTTTTGCGCATGCGCGGAGCGGGGGAGCGCTGGGGCCGGGAGCCACCACGGGCGTGGAGGGCACATGCGCACTGTGCCGTGGGCGGGCAGCGCGGGAACGGAAGCCTGTCGCCAGCGGGAAGGGCAGGGCAGGGCGCGCGGGGCTTCTTGGGCAGGGAACTGATCAGGACCGCGCACGCCCCCGCGCGGGGCATTGTGGGAAATGTAGTTCCCAGCAAGGAGCGACTTCGCGCCAAAATGGCACAAAGGGCAGGAGGTAGAGGACCCAGCGTTGCATCTGCACCCGGGCGCTGCGGACGCTCCCCAAGGCTACCGGGCCAGCTACACCACCTCAGGTGGCGCTCGGCGCCTAAGACCCGGCAGGAGGTGGCCCGCGCCTCCTTTGTACCCCGGGCACCCCGACACCTCGTGTGTCATTTCGGTGACACTGACTGCGCGGGACCTTTCTAAAGCGCAGCCCGAGCGACCCTTCGCCACCCTCGGCTGCTAGCCTCCCACCTTCGTCCTGTGCGCCCCGCGTCTCCGATGCTCGCGAGCCCGTCCTCCCCGGAGACGGTGCCCGGCCTGGCCTCCCCGCAGCCCACGTCCGCCCCTTCGCGGGGTCCCCTCTTCCCAAGATCAAGAGCGGGGCGCGGGAGACGCTGACACTCGGCTGCACTCGCCTCCCGGCCAAGGAACCTGGGTTTTGTTTTGTTTTGTTTTTTGTTTTTTGTCTTTTTCCTTTTTATCGGTACCGGGAGTCGAACTCTCGAGTGCCTGCTTGCAAGGCAGGCGCTTATGCCGCTGAGCTAAATCCCCAGACCGGAACCTGGGGTTTGGCCCTGTATGGCACTGTGCGCACCGGCACTGAAACAGGAGGATGGGACCTCGGGGCAGGATCCGAGTCTGGGCCGGGCTTTCTCTGGCCAGCAGTCTCCCCTCTGCGCACGGAGAGGGCTCTGGCTGCAGTTCCCATTCCGGACTGACGCCCCCCAAGGGATTCACAACCGCGGGAAGCCGAGCGCGCAGGACAGGCACAGATCACAGACCGTTTGTCCTCCCCCCCTAGATGCTCTGAGACGCTGTTCTTACTCGTTTTTTTAACTTACTGGTTTTTTAGTACTGGGTGTGGTACCCAGGGCCTAGCACATGCTAGGCTAGCACACACCACTAAGCTATACCTCAACCCTTGAGAGATTTTTTCTAAATGTATTTTGTCAGTACATGCCTGCAACGCACAATGTTCACAGTCTTTGTGTGAAGTTGGCACATGCCCATGACACTCCTTAATGCCTTTTGCAACTCTTTTCCCTTCTTTGCCTCTGTCTCCCCATCTCAATTTCCTTCCCCTTTAGTAAAGATTCCCCACCCCAATCTATTTTGCTCTTTATTTATAATTTAGGTTTCTCATGTAAGAGAAACCATTCAATGTTTAAGCTGTGTGTCTGATAATCTCACCTAACATTATGATCTCCAGGTGCCTACATTTTCCTACAAATGACTCAGGCTTATCCATCTTTATGACAGAGTAATACTCCACAGTGCCTCATTTCCTTCATCCACTCCTGTTGATGGACAGTTACTTTACTTCCAAGATTTATTAGCTACTGAGAGTTGTGCAGCTATAAACATGGATGTGTATAGGTTACTGATACACATTTTTTTTTGAGACAGGGTGACAAAATGTAGTGCAGGCTGGCTTGAGTTCACTTTGTAGCCCAGGCTGTCCTCCAACTCTCTGTGATCCTCCTGCCTCAGCCTCCCCCAATTGGTGGGATTACAGGTATGCACCACTGTGCTCACGTGATGCTTTTTTTTTTTTTTTTTTCATTTTTATCGGTACCGGGGATCGAACTCACGACCGCCTGCTTAAAAGGCAGGTGCTTATGCTGCTGAGCTAAATCCCCAGCCCCACGTGATACATTTTTATCACTTCCGAGGTTCTGGTTTCCAGCTGGGGGCGGGTGAAGGGGATTTAGGATTTTTTTGGTTTTTTTTTTCTTTTTTTCTGGCTACCCCTTCCGGCTCTGAGAAGAGGCTGGACCTTAGCGGCGCGGCGCTGAACTACGGAATCCCGGGCCTTGAGTCCCGGCAGAGCTGGTATTTCCAAGTTAGGGCTCGGGTCGCCCCTCCTCCGGGACCCTCCCCTCGGGACCGAGCTCCCTAGGCTTGCATTCAGCCGTGAATCCATCAGGACCTGGGCTTCTCTTTGTTGTACACGTTGTACAATATAATAGGAAGTTCCTGACAAAACTGGAAAAGAAGTGACAAGACTGCCACATAGGAAAGGAAAGCTCAGCATATGTGCTATCAGTCCATTGAGTTCTGTTATATACACAACATTGCAGTAGGCATTTGGATTAGAAATGTAAAAAGATGTAACTATTGCCATAAGGGACCTTCATTCTGACAAAGAAAAAGTGGACAAGGGAGCTGGGGATTTAGCTCAATGGCATAAGCGCCTGCCTTGCAAGCAGGCAGTCGTGAGTTCGATCCCTGGTACCGATAAAAACGAAAAAGACAAATTTAAAAAAAAAGAAAGAAAGAAAACGAAAAAGTGGACGAGTCTTCTTTTCAAGAGAAGATGACCGTTTAACAGTTTTGAAGGATCTAACACTTGTGTGCCTGCAGACATCAATAAGAATGGAGAATTTGTAGAAGAGTTTTTAATAGGTTAAAAACTTTTGTTAATTTTCCAAGTAGTAGTCCTGTTTCAGCATCATCGCTGGCACGAGCGGGTTTTCTTTACACTGGAGAAGGAGACACTGTGCGCTGCTTTAGTTGTCAGGCAGTAGATAGATGGCAATATGGAGACTCTGCAATTGGGAGACACAGAAAAGTGTCCCCAAATTGCAGATTTATCAATCGATTTTATTTTGAAAATAGTACTGCACAGCCTACAAATCCTGGTGTCCAAAATGGTCAGTGCAAAGCCAAAAACTGTCTGGGAAGCAAAAGTCATTTTGGTGTAGACAAACCACCTGAGACTCATGCAGACTATTAAGAACTGGACAGGTTGTAGATATATCAGATACTATATACCCAAGGAATCCTGCCATGTGTAGTGAAGAGCTAGATTAAAATCATTTCAGAACTAGCCGGACTATGCCCACTGAACTCCCAGAGAGTTAGCTAGTGCTGGACTCTACTACACAGGTATTGATGATCAAGTGTAGTGCTTTTGTTGTGGAAAACTGAAAAATTGGGAACCTTGTGATTGTGCCTGGTCAGAACACAGACGACATTTCCCAAATGCTTCTTTGTTTTGGGTCAGAACATTAATGTTCGAAATGAATCCGATGTGAGTTCTAACAGGAATTTCCCAAATTCAACAATTCCTCCAAGAAATTCAGCCATGGCAGAATATGAAGCCTGATCATTACTTTTGGGACATGGACGTACTCAGTTAATAAGGAGCAGCTTGCAAGAGCTGGATTTTATGCTTTACAGGTGAAGGCGATAAGGTAAAGTGCTTTCACTGTGGAGGAGGATTAACTGATTGGAAGCCCAGTGAAGACCCTTGGGGACAACATGCTAAGTGGTATCCAGGATATAAATATCTTTTGGAAGAGAAGAGACAAGAATATATAAACAATATTCATTTAATCCATTCACGTGAGGAGTCTTTGGTAAAAACTGCTGAAAAAACACCATCGCTGATGAACAGAATTGATGATACAGTCTTCCACAATCCCATGGTACAAGAAGCTATACGAATGGGATTCAGTTTCAGGGATATTAAGAAAATAATGGAGGGAAAAATTCAGACATCTGGGAGCAATTACATATCACTGGAGGTTCTAGTTGCAGATCTAGTGAGTGTTCAGAAAGATAATACACAAGATGAATCAAGTCAGACTTCATTGCAGAAAGATATTAGTACCAAGGAGCAGCTAAGGCGCCTACAAGAAGAGAAGCTTTGCAAAATCTGTATGGATAGAAATATTGCTGTAGTTTTTATTCCTTGTGGACAGCTGGTCACTTGTAAAGAGTGTGCTGAAGCAGTTGACAAATGTCCTATGTGCTACACAATCATTACCTTCAAGCAAAAAATTTTTATGTCTTAATCACACTCCACAGTCAAGCAACTGAGGCTCAAGGGAGAGTTAATTTACCCAAAACTATTAGCTAATTTGTGGCAGAAACCTGACTGGGACATAATTTGAAGGTGAAAATTTTCACCAACCTATCTGTCCTGGAAAGTTTCATGTTTATTTTTTTTTAAGTATTCTTTCCACTATATCATAACTTTTTTTTTTGTCTTTTTCCTTTTTTATCGGTACCAGGGATCGAACTCACGACTGCCTGCTTGCAAGGCAGGCACTTATGCCGCTGAGCTAAATCCCCAGCCCCTATATCATAACTTTCACTACATACTAAATGATACTTTATAATTGATACAGTAGGACAATCTTAAATACATATATCTTCAAATTAGATAATACATTAGTGTTTGAGTAGCAAGAGTCTATTTTGAAGTGTGAAGTTTGCAGAGATACATACAGATCTTTGGCTATTACTACATGAATATTAGGTATCATTTATTTTATTTTTTTATGTAAAGAGAAAAAAACAAAAAAAAACCAAAGCGGTAAAAGGGTACAAGTAATACAGAATTTCAAGAAAAAAAATACAGTAAGAAATCACTAGTTAATAGATTACATATTGTCATCTTAGAAACAGTTGTCCAAATTATAAAATTAAAGCCTACAAAGTGGACATTCATACAGTGAGACTGCAGACAGTTCTGTTCAATCATCCAACAAAAATTCAGTAATATGGTTTTCTATCCTACACACTTAAATATACATTTAATGTAACATTTAAAACTATTATGTAAAAAACAGGCATAGTGGCACACATCTGTAATGCCAGCACTGGAGAGGCTGAGGCAGGAGGATCACAGGTTTGAGGTCAGCCTGGGCCATACAGTGAGTTCAAGGGCAGCCTGCACTACAAAGAGAGACCCTGTCTCAAAAAAATTACTATGTAAATATATTTTACCATTTTGTCCAAACTTACTTACAAATCTGAATTTTTATTTGCTATAGCATTCTTCAATATAATTTGTTAGATTTAGCATTTTTCATTACTGTGACA